AAAGTTTACATATCAGCGTTGTACGGATATCCAGTACACAGGCATGAAATGAAATAACACCGGGATTTTTACTTGGAAAACCCTGAAAAGGGAAAAAATCACGGGGCCATGCTTAGTTGAAATAATTCCACTAGTGTTTGTTTGAGAAACAAGATGCTGACTCGTCCTTAAAATTTAGGACGATCATATTATAATGCTTCACTTTCGGATTGAAATCCAATTACAAATAAGTTGTGTATTCGAGCTAAATTCAGAATCACTTAAAATTCTGACATCACTTGGAAATAGGGCAGAGTTCCGGCGTCACTTGGGCGTCAGGCAGAATTCTGACATCACTTGGACGTCGGGCAGAATTTCAGCATCACTTGGGCAGAATTATGGTGTCACTTGGGCGTCGGGTAGAATTCCATCCGAATTCAGATGTCACTTGGGTGTCGGGCAGAATTCCGGCGTTGGTCGAGGAGGAGTTTCTTCCCTCATATCCTTCTCTTCTTCTTCTCTTCTTCTTCTCTTCTTCTTCTTCTTCTTCTTGCTTCTTCTTACTTGGGTCCCCTCTCAAGAAAAATGAGGGGTTTATTTATCGATTTTTGGAGTGGCAAGGCTAGTAAATAGGTGAGAGATCAGGGGCAAAGGTGGAGTGATTCGGATGGACGGCCGATATTGAATCCCTTGATCGTGTACCATTCTTCAGACATTTTAAGGTCTTAATGATGTCATAATTTGGCAATCTTGGGCTCGTTGGATTAGTCTCGTTGAGTTGCTCGATTCGACTACAAGCACGTCATATTTGGAAACCGTTTGGTAACTCAAATTGTGGTTTGAACTTTCCAATAATGCTTCGGGTGCTTGATTTGGACTCATTTGGGCTCGGATTGAGTCAAATTTGGTGTAGTTGAGTTTGTATTTCCGAGACGCTCAGTTTAACTATAAGTTTGCTGAAATCAAAGTTCACGTGATCCCATATTTAATTTTTGAAGTTTCAAGGTTGATTTTGCCTCGAGATTCATGTCCGATCAAGATTTTTTTTTTTTTTTTTTTGATGATATATCACATTTCCATCAAAAGAATGAGAATATTGGTTGTAATAAGCATGTCATTATTGAATAAAAATTCTAACAAATAAATCATCAAAGGGCTTCACTTAAATATTTATAAGTTACTGTGACATATTCTAACTTAAAATTATTCATTATCAATCAATGCCCAAATCAAAGAGATATTGTTAGTTACAGACAGTTGTGTGGATTAGGTGCTTACGATCAATCACATGGAATACACAATTCGGTCAACTATGTATTCCACGTGATTGTCATCCGCACAAGCATTGTGTTCCACACGTACAAGAACACGATGACTAGACATCTTTAAGCTTTTCTAAAACGTCAAACATTTATTTGAAAAAAGGACTTAATCGATTCGATGATAGTTAAAACTCCATGATTACGTGTGCCTTCATCTTTTATGGCTATCTTAATCTCATATTCCGCCCTACAAATATGTGGATAACCATGTCTTGATACCTATATTATTATGAGAGCTATTAAAAAATTATCATCCCATATTAAAAAAAAAAGTCTATAATAATTAAAACATTTAAGGATCCAGGCCAATACAATTTTCCTCAAATCTGTTGCAATTAATAATTAAAGTTTATAATTTTAAAAATTATTAAATTTATTTTAAGATTAGCGCTATGTAAGAAATTTTTATGTTGCACTACTCTCAAAGCACAATTTCTATTAGGATTATATGCTAAAATAGTCAAATCATTAGACTAGCTTCCATTATTTCACTAGTGGAAGAAAAAAATTTAATAAACATTATCGTATAAATTATATTCGGATAAACTTAAATTCCATAGGTGACAAAGAGGTCTAGCTAAAGACCACAAACCAACCTATTGTGTTGGATCCAAATGTGTCCATAGGTGACACCCGACTTTACTAACAAGCTTATTTGGTGAGCTAGTCAACTAAAATTTGTAAGAGAATACATAGTAGAGAGTATAGAAGAGAGGAAAAAGAATGCTCAAGGAATTATAAATCTCATAATCCATCAAAATTAGTTAGAAAATTTAAACTCACAAAGAGGTTTAGCTAAAGATCTCAAACTATTTCTTATACCCGGTATTTTATAGGATTTTGAGTGCTACAAAAAAGATTATATAGAGAAAAAGTAAAAAATGCTATACTACACAGAAGACTCATACAATTCTACACAACTTCGTAGAAACGTGTCACCTCTTGGTTGGCAAAAGGAGGGTGAGATCTGAAGAGTTTTGTGGAGTACTCTCTAGGCGAGAGTAGATCAGTAGGCCCGGCAAGTATATGGGCAAATTTTGAGATGAAGGGACTTGCAACCAACAGGCTTGTTGATGTTTTGATGACTTGTGTGGGAAATCTTAGATTGCCTAGGGCACTCTCGTCTTCTCCTATAGGGATAGATCGACATCTCAGCTAGGGCAGGGCATACAGAAGACTAAAAGGTTGCTAAACCCCTTTCCTTTCATTGGATTTTCATCAATATGTCCCAGGCAAAGTAAGCGAAAGCGGGCTCAACCTTACGGCAGAGGGGGCACTACTTTACTGGATCAACATTCCATTTCAGAAAAAGACCATTCCTAGTCTTTAATCGATTGGAATTGAGTCCTTTCAAAAAGGGGGCCAAGCTCCAATGGGAAAGTACATTGAGGACGGAAGTCTAAACCTCTTCATCCCGGCCGGAAACTGAGGAAGAGGAAAGACATGTCACCTCTCGGTTGGCAAAAGGAGGGTGAGATCTGAAGAGTTTTGTGGAGTAGTCTCTAGGCGAGTTTGACTGTTTTGAGTAGATCAATAGGCTTGGGCAAGTATATGGGCAAATTTTGAGATGAAGGGACCTACAACCAGCAGGCTTGCTAATGTTTCGATGACTCGTGTGGGAAATCTTAGATTGCCTAAGGAGAGAGAGAGAGAGAGAGAGAGAGAGAGAGAGAGAGAGAGAGAGAGGTGAGTGAGATGTAGGCACAAGAAGGGAGAGCATTGGTTCATATAGTTTCAGCGAGGTGAACTGAGGGCATCATGAGTAGGAACTTTCCTATAGCGGAGTTTGGTGATAGTGGTTGCTTTGGGACAGAACATGTGATTGAAGTGGCTATGTCGAGAACTAAGTCGCCATCTTTGCATGAATTCCTTTATTCGCCCCATGAGAAGACGGGTAGCACTTGTTGATTACCGTGGGCGAGTTCTCTTATAAGTTCTAGATGAGTAGTGCCTCTCGAGTTATTAAACCAATTTCGTAGTGGGTCCCTTTGAAGAGCGATTCCTCTATTAATTATGACTCATCAGTTACCTGATAAATACATGTGAAGATATACTCCCCACCCCCCAATTGTATTCAAATAAACTTAAATACTATTACTTTGAAAATAGTGATATAGATAAAATTTTATATTTTATCTCAAAATAAATTTAATAATACTTAAACTCCTTATAAAATTTATATCATAACATACTTCCATAATTTTTCTCTATAATTAAATCAGCTTTCAACTGGCCGCCGGCATGCTCATGTAAGCAGCCTAAATGCCGCGGACATTTACTTCATTAAACAATTACATTATCATTATCTACAACATATTTTTTATTAAAAAAAAAAACCTATTTGAATCTGATTAATGTAATACAAAATTTAATTACTTAATAATAAATTATACTTATCTGAATAATAATTACAAAAAATTGATATTCTTTTTTTCTGGTCTGTTCATAATACACCAAAAATTGTATTTTTTAATAATCGATTGATCATTTAAATGTATTTTTGATGCGCCATATGTATTCTTTTAATAGCTTGATATGAACGAAGACTTATTCTATAGATCATTTGCTCATTGGTCATTACATAAATCTGATAGTATTATTCATTTAGATGCATTGTTTATGTTAAATTTTAGCAGATTTTTTGCCACATTTTTTATTGTACTCTTATTGACGCAAATAATTATAATAATAATTGTCAGCATATTCAAGCACTGACGGCACATAAGTGATCTCTTGAAACTACACATAAGAAGTCGTGATTGGAGCTTGCTGGAGAAGGCATCGATGATTGTAACAACGATGAAGTCGTGGCAAGAGCTTATTGGATAAAGGCATTGACGACACTAGCTTTTTGAGTTCTAGGGAGAAGGCATCAACAACAATAATGATAATAAAGAAAGCGTGAGCTTACTTAAAAGGAGAAATTATTATGTGAGGAGACCAGACGACGAGAACCGTTCGGATTTACTGTGCTTTTGTAAATATTCAACATAAGGGCACCAAATATGCAATTATGAATACTCTTTTGTTATCTTTTTGCTAAGTATTTGTAAAATCGCAAAAAAAAGACATAAAATATTCAATTAGTTGGATATTTGTTGTGCTTTAGCTGTCTTTTGTTGTGTTTTTGCGAATACTCAGCAAAAGAATAACAAATATGCATTAAGTGCAGCAAATCTGGCCATCTGGTCTCTGCAAAGAATAATTTCTCACATAAGCGGTGATAGTTCTCTAAAGAAGGCATTAACTCATCGATTGAAGCAAAGGAGTACATGAGGCTTGCGACTCCTCTAGAACTAGGTTTAACTAGAAATCTGCTTTAAGAAACAATAAAAAAGTCGTCTCAAATAAAATCTTAGGCATCATTTGATACGACTTTTTTTTTTATATAAAATTCTATTTTATGAATCAATAAAAAGAGAGTCCCAAAAGAAGTCTCAGACTTTATTTGGGACGGCTTTATTTCTGCTTCTTAAAGCATATTTTTAGCATAAAAATTTTAATTTTTATACTAGAAAATTACTTTATGAAGCAATAAGAAAACCGTCTTAAACAAATCCTTAATCTACCTTTAGACTATTAACTCTTTTGAGATCGTTCCAAAAAAAACTCTTTAGAGATCGTGATGAAGATCTTGCCAAAAAAAAAAAAAGAAAGAAATTAATAATCCAAAAAAAAAAAAAAAGTAAGAAATTAATAATAAATTATGCTCCTTTTTTATTACAAAATATGATTGCACTTTCTAACATTTGGCGAATGGGCAGCGAGGGAGATAAAAATAATAACCAGAGATAACGTAGAATAGTGGGACGATGAGAAAATCTTTTAGGGAAAGTCTCCATTAAATTGACTCCCGCCCTCACTCTTCCCCAACTCAGCAGCTCCTCTCTCTCCATCGGGAACAGAGGGGGAAGATGGAGCTAATGGGCAATGGAGGTGGAAGGGTGAACCAGGAGTATCCGATGGGAAAGAGAAAGACGATGGCGATGGAACAGGATATGGACGCCGGAATGGACGAGCTGCTCGCAGAACTCGGATATAAGGTTAGGTCCTCGAGCATGGCGGATCTGGCACAGAAGCTGGAGCTGCTGGACCGAGCTATGGGGAACAGCTCCGCGTTGGACGATATCTTTCTTTCTCATCTCGCTTCCGATTCCGTCCACTATAACCCTTCCGATATGTCGAGGTGGGTCGACAACATGCTATCGGAGCTCGACGCGCCGCCATCGGCGACGTTTCCAAGCCCTAGTGTTGTCGATCTTTCTCCTATCAATGTATCTTCCTGGTTGGGATACCCAGCCCAACCAAGTCTCTCTATCCAATCTGATTGCGGATCGGATTCCCATCTAGGCTTGGAATCAAGAGAGTGGAAGCGGATTAGGACCGCTTCTTCTTCGGCCGATTGCAGCGGTGGATTGATCCGGCCATCGGAGGTAGTTTATTCGTCAGCTATGCCGATGATGATGGTGGAATCTGATCATGAAGCCGGCATCCGTCTAGTCCATGCTCTGGTAGCCTGCGCGGAAGCTATTCAAGAAGAGAATTACAAATCGGCGGATGCTATTATGAAACAAATCACCTTCCTCACCTCCTCCCAACATGGCGCGATGCGCAAAGTCGGTGTGTACTTCGCTGAAGCCCTGGGCCGACGAATCTACAGCCTCCACCCCAAGCAAGACCACTACCTTGACTCCGCCTTCTCCGACATCCTTCAAATGCATTTCTATGAAACTTGCCCTTACCTCAAGTTCGCCCACTTCACCGCCAACCAAGCCATTCTCGAAGCCTTCGCCGGCCACCGACGCGTTCACGTCATCGACTTCGGTATAAAACAGGGGATGCAATGGCCCGCTCTAATGCAAGCCCTCGCCCTCCGCCCCGGCGGCCCTCCTTCATTCCGCCTCACTGGAATTGCCTCACCCCAATCGGACAACTCCGACTCGCTCCAAAAACTCGGCTTAAAACTCGCCCAGCTCGCCAGAACCATCAACGTTGAATTCGAGTTTCGCGGCTTGGTCGCCAACTCCCTCGCCGATCTCGAGCCTTACATGCTCGACGTCGAACCAGAGGTAATCGCCATCAACTCTGTCTTCGAACTCCACGGCCTCCTAGCACTTCCTGGAGCAATAGAGAAGGTGCTCGACACGGTCCGCTCATTGCGGCCGCGGATTGTAACAACTGTGGAGCAGGAAGCGAACCACAACGCGGATGGATTCTTGGAGCGGTTCACGGAAGCGTTGCATTACTACTCGACGCTGTTCGATTCTATGGATGGTGGCAGCGACGAGGGGTCGCCGGAGAAATTGATGTCGGAAGTGTTTGTTGGAAGGCAGATCTGTAACGTGGTGGCGTGCGAAGGGTTTGAGAGAACGGAGAGGCACGAGACATTGGAGCAGTGGATGTTGAGGATTCGTGGGGCGGGGTTTGAATCTGTGAACCTCGGATCGAATGCATTTAAGCAGGCGAGTATGTTGCTTGCGCTGTTTGGTAGGGGAGATGAATATCGGATTGAGGAGAAGGAAGGCTGTCTTACGCTTGGTTGGAACAATCGGCCGCTCATCGCCACCTCCGCTTGGCGTGTTGCCGGCGCCGGCGATGGTGTGGAAGCTGCGCGGTGATTCTCTTTTGATGGATATTGCTAAGGCTTAGCGGTTGGCTAAACCGATCACGGAACTTTTTTTTATTTTTTTATTCGCGTTTTTTTTTT